TTTGTGACTCTTCAATTTCATTTTTCAATTTCGTACTTCGTATTATCGATGTAACGTTAAAAGGTATTCAGAATTTTCATTCTGTTTCCTCTTTGCGGTGTTTAACGATGTTAATGTTAGTGGTATTAACATATATGAATGGCGTTCACTCGAACCAAGACCTTTTTCTCACGCACCGCATTTATTAATTTCCCTGTATCTTACTCCTTGAATTGTGTAATTGCACTGTTACCGTGTACCACCTCTCCTTCCACATTTAAGATCGATAGTTAGCGTCTTCCGTTTCCTTGCTGCAACGTTGCATACCGTTGCACTGTGGCATAATTGAGCCTGCACGTAATGTTTCAGAAAAGAAATCTTGCAACAACAGAACCACTCGAGCAATGGAATGTTCAAATAATGGGTCCTTCGGATAATGAAGAGAGCGAATAATGGTTATGCTCGCATAATAGAGATTCCAATGCGACAGCAGCAGTACCATTGGGAAAAATTCTTGCTACATCTTTTAATGAATGGTCTCTGTCAGATATCACGGTGTTCGTCGTTATTAGCTATTATCAAAGATCCGAGTAATAGCATTTCAAATAACAGCTCTAATGAATACGAAGCGAAGGCGCAAGCGTGACGAAAGCGAACAAGAAGCGGATATGTAGTACATTTTGATATATCTGATTAACTGCGAAGCAGTCCGTGGTACAGAATATGAACTGGAATGCTTATAAAATAGGGACTTGGAAATTTTTCTCTTCATTAGCTTTTCTATAGATAATCAAGGATCTGTCCGGAAAGTCGGCAACGCACGGTGCTCAGACTCTGCACTTTGGCATTTTAACATTCCAAGTTCTGCTTTGCCAAATTATTAAACAGAAAACTTCGAAATTTTTCTCTTTATCAGCTCATTCCTTTTTTTATAGACATCAAGGATTTATCCGGAAAGTCAGCGACGCATGGTACTTAGATTGCACTTTGGGATTTTAAACTTTCAAATTCTATGTTGCCAAATTAGTGAAATGGGAGCTTAGAAACTTTCTCTTTATCTACTTGCTCCTAGCATTATGCTTTTCTATTCGTAACCAAGGATTTGTCCGGCAAGTCGGCGACGTACGGTGCTTAGACTGCACTTTGGGATTTAAAACTTCTAACAATAAGTTCTCTTCTGCCAAATTAGTGAAATGGGGACTTAGAATTCATTCTCTTATCAACTCGTTCCTCGCCCTATGCTTCCTTATAAATGCCAAGGATTTTTCCGGAAAGTCGGCGACGCACGGTACTTAAACTCTGTGCTCTGGAACTTAACATTGCCAACTCGTATTTTGCCAAACATCCAACGTGTCATCATTACCACATGATTGGATCTATAATATTCTATTTATCCAATGTTGGAATAAAGGGTACATCTGATTATCATTTCTCGGCCATAAAAACAAAGCGGCTCGTCCAAGCTTCAGATGAGTCCGAAATAAATCAGTATTCGGGCGCGTCCAGCCGGAAATAAGAAGAAATGACGTGCTTGTTATCCGTATCAGGAGCGGAGCTGCGAGTACGCAGGCCGGACTTTAACAGAAGGAAGAGGAGCAAGGCAGCCAACGAAGGGAAGATATATAGACCATTCGCAGAGTCCATTCGCCTCGACGCGTACGCCTGCCTATGGGACAAATAACCGTATAAATTTCCCTGCGCGACACGTCCTCTTATATTACATGGAAATGCACGGGATGTCGTGCCAAATAGTCTCCTACGAGCTTCTTCCCTCGTGCTAGCGTTAATTCTTTCGTCGCTACGATCAACGAATTTGTTTCTTCGAGAATAAAAAACAGAAGAAAAAACTTACTATCCTATCTCAGGGTAGGAATTAGTTGCAACAGAGCGTTAATTCAAGAAGAATATAAATCTTGGTGGAGAACAACGAGAGAAGATGAGGAGTTAAACTGATGAAGGCAGCTAGTGTTTTGCAAGTAAAATGAGGTATCTTTTACAACGCATCTCAGCAAACATCGCGTAAGCCTCGGAGCGTTTGAAGATGTTGCGAACGAGCTGAGATGAATTCAAATCGGGCTACAGGTGTAGCCAACATATTTTTTGGCATAACTTCATGAATAAATTTTGTATTTTCCTTTTTTCTCTTCTGTTTGTTACATCGTGGAAAAAAGAAACAATTTTCTTGGTCCTCGAACAAAACAGAAAAATAATTTTATATATCATACAGTCTTGCATGCTTTTGAATATTTATGTAAAATTCATTGAATTCTTCTGAAATGGATTAATTTGCATGGTATTTTCGAAAATAAATCGGCACGTCCGAGAATTATTCGGTCTGTAACATTGTTGGGTTATTCGGATAATGAAGATATCGGTTTTGGTACGGTTAATACGGATATCCGAGATATTTGGATAACACAAGTGGCATTGTGAATCGGGCACGACGGCGATACGCGGGTTCGTGAATATATGGAGAGAGCTCGTTGCCCGCTGTTATTCCCGCTACTCGAATATTTTCTTCGATATTAACATCGGCGAGAGCACGGTGGCCGGCGGGGCAAGCAGTTGTGCAATAGAACGGAAGGGGAAGTGCTTCGCTGGAGATTATTGTCCGATTCTAGGGTGCTTGTTCGCTGGAATCACGTTCAATTTGCCGTAAATAGCTTTCGATCGAAGGATGGCTACTTTACATTTCATATCTGATGTACCTATCTCTAGTTTCTCTATAAACTTAACAGCCGGTTTCTTCAAATCAGTAATTAGCTTCGTTACAGAAGATTAGAAGAATAAATTTTCCTCTTCGGGCGAGAAACGTTATCGTTCGAATGAAAAAACCTTGCTCCTTTTGTACGCGCTGTAACGCAGTGAAATAATTTCCTCTCATTCTGGTCGGCGCTCTCGTTTTCCGTCAGCTCCACTTTTGGTTGCCATTTGTGTCGCGCAATGGAGTGCGCTGCTCCTGACAGCACTTCACATCCCCTGCACCCTCTTTGTCCGCCACGTCGACACGACAATGAGACACGGGTTCGCGATATGAATGAATTCCTTGCCAACCCCTCGGCAACATCCCTTTCTGGCTGCAAGTGCAGATGCACCCTCTCTGCTCATCCGATTGCTGGTCAAATTCGATCTCTCCTTCTCTTTCCCTTTGAACGGAGCATCGTTCGTAAGACCGCTTCTATTTCCTCCGATCAAGTCAAAGGTCCTCGAGCACGGTCAGCATTTCGAAAGCATCGATCATTAGTACTCTTCGTGCGAGGGAACGGGGTGGGTGGCTTTGATGCACCCTTGCTTTTCTCCCCGTTCTACGTTTTTCGATAATTATGACTGCCGAACGCGTGACTCGCCAGGATTCATTGAAACCGGGGTTGTTTGTCGTTGAATGAAGTCTGCTATTGCAGGGGGATCGAGAAGATCGACTTGGAGAGCTGTCACTGGACGCGGAGTTCGTTTAAGCCGGTATCAATAATGCCGAGTGACGGCGAAAAAGGGAGGAAAGATTGATTCGGTATTACCTATATTTTCCAATAACTTTTGAAAGCTCCTTTTGCGGGTTTATGTGCATTCAAACTCTTTAAGCGGGATTTTATTTTATATACCGACTCACGCGCTGGTAGTAACTCGGCTATGAAAAATAAATCCGCGATTTTTGGCTCACTTTGAAATAAAAAGAAACGCGGGTATCTGAGAGAGAATCTCTGTAAATAAAGACCGGTTCGCTTAGTGATTAACGATAAATCTGCTCGAATGAGAGTCTTTGTAATTGTTTCGAGCCGAGTATTCGAGGTGCATCGCAGCGGCGCGCAATTACGAACGTAACTCGATCGTTAGGACGTTAGAAAGCTGAAGGACCATCGTCGGTGACCGGAGGCTCGACGGAGGAACGAGGGGGGTGGCCAAAGAATTAAGCGTAACAAGGTTTCCCGGCGGGACCCGTTATTACCAGCCAGGCGATGCACTGCTCGCCGACTTCTCGTAATTTTCCGACTCGCGAGCCGACGGGAATAATTATAAAAGTGGGCGAGAGCGTTCCCCTTTACGGATGTGCGAGCAGCTTTCAACGAAGCTCGCGTAATTACTAAGAACTTGCCTTTACGTAGCGCGAACGAACGAGCCAGGACCAGGCTCGTGAAAGATAGCCCGCGATACGAGTCCACCGTTCCATCTGTCCCGCCAAGATCTATTAACCTATATTTCAACAAACCCCTATCCCATTGTTCCGGCCAAGGAGTTCCAAGCGAATTCGTATCCAGCCGTGAGAGCGACTCGATGACGTACTACGCGGACGATTTTTGCGCTCGTTAAAGAGACCTCCGTGGAAATGATCGAGTTCATTAGAAGGATGCTGATGATTCGCGAATAGCGGCGGTTGGATTCGCGGGAATAGAATGCCACCTTGATTCTAGAGCATCACTTTTGCAGATGTCGAGTGTTAGAAATGCTTTCTGGCCTAGATATTCGGTTTCGTTTTGGAAGAACTGCTTCTTCCTACAATGATGGGTGGAAAATGAAACTCCTAGTTAAAACGTATGGTATTTTTACATTTGTTCGTTATTTAACACTTTGATTACCAAATTAGTTACCCATGACTGGAATTTATTTTCTCATTGGACCCATGGTGGTCATTAGTGGCCAAAAATTCTATAGTGAACCCCGGGATAAAATAAAACTCGCGTGGCAGTCAAGGTGTTAATATTAGAGTAATTAACGTTAGAGAGATAATCCTAAAAATGTTCAGTAACTTACCGTTTTAATGGTCCATTATTTCCAACTGGTCTGAAATCTCTTGTTAAAGAAAGCAAAAGAGATCGCTGGACGGCGAAGCGAAGGCTGGACTTCTAATGATATCAAACGTCCGTCGTTAACGGGGTCCGTTAACGAGCGTACATAATACATACCGGTTGATAGAATTTTAGATCATGACGTTCCGTGGATCTCACACTCGGGCGGCTGATTAACCGATGAACGTTGAATCGTGGATCGATCCGTGACGGGTCAAAAGGAATACGTTCTTCTCCGTGTTGTGATTAAAATATATATAAATAACTTTATTGTTTATAATAAAATGCCCTATCTATATTACAAATATACAAAACTCTCGCTATGTACAATGAAAATCTCCTGCTCGACGAGAAACAAGAGAACGCTCATCGGAGGAGACACGCTAGACCCCCTCTAGGTTCACCGAATCGATCGATCGATAGGTATTCTTACAATTATTCGATCGATCGGATTTAATAAACTATTCGAGTTCGAGTAGAAAGAGAAAAAACTTGTTTACTTCGTTGCAATTACGAGTTAATTAAAGGTAGTATGCTCTCTGTGTGTGTTTGTGTTGTGTATGTGGTTTTCATTTAATCATCATTCTTCTTCTTTTTCTTCTGCTTTTTTTTCGTGAGTTTTTTTTTACTTTTTTTCGTTTTCTTCGCTCTCATTTATTCCTGTTGTTTTTGTTCTTGTTTTGGTTTGTTTATCGCTGTTCATCGCCCTAATTACATTTGCACACTACGAAGCTATCACGAGTCTCAAAAATACGAATAAACCGTTTACTTTAGGTGAGAACACCGTGTTACGGAGTACAATTGCGATAGTAAGAAATACTTCTTGATAATAAGTAGAGAGAAACGTCGCGCAACAGTCGGGAATCCTGCAACAGAAAATAACGTATCCATGATTAGAGGGAAATGTGTACCGTTTCTACTTCTCTCTTTGACCAAGCTCGAGAAGAAAATTTACTTCAATGCTGTCTCCGTTCTACTTTGTTACAATCGAAGGCGTTGCCCGTGGCATTTTTTAATTTCTTCAATGTTCTACTTTAGCGAAGAATTCTGCTACGAATTAAAAAACAGACGAACTGACGCTGCTCTACTAACACAAAAGAAAGCCACTTTCTTTGCGTTGTACGGAGAAATACGGCGGACCATGTGTCTTGAGACTTTCCTCTAGCAACTTTGAAGTTACTCGAGCTCGGCCATGATGAATTCGACTTTTAACACGTTCCGCAAGAATTACAACGTAACGTCTACTTTTATCTTTCGACCTTTGCCATAAATTTTCGGTATGCGCGCGAACGTGTTGGCCATCAATTTTAATAATCCAGAATATACAGAGGGATTATGCGAATAAAGAGTCACTCACCTTTGCCCACTGCGATTTTCAATTACTTCATGCGTAATGCGAATCGATAATACTTCTGGCAACAGTTCACATCTGAAACAGAAAAAGCGAAACGTCCGGTTACAACGGCGCCTATAAATCACTTGGACGTCGACGACGCTCTCGACGCTCAGACAAATTCTCCCGGCGAACGTATTTTCAGGAAATAAAACTGGGAAACTGTGGTGGTCACCGGGAGACACGACGATTTGTACGCGTGTACACGGGTGCACTGACTTCAATGTGTATGCACTCGATTGTTTCTTGGACCGTCGAGGACAGAAAGAACGTGCTCGCTTCGAAAAAGGAATTGCTATGCTGGAATTAAACGTTTGCCGCGGATCAAAACTCCCTTAGTTCTCGAATTCCGATGTTTTTCGAAAGAATTTTCAATTAAATAACAGAAACGTCGACGTATGTTCAAAATCACACGGTGACGAAAAATTTTCTATACAATCAGACTTCGCGAATGACAGGACGAAAATCGAGGAAAAGATTCAAAGTAGAAATAAATATTTAAATAGAAGCTGAAACACTGTCATGTATCTCTCCTCTTAAAAAAGGAAATATATAATATCCATTCATGGTATTTCGTTAACCAGAAAATAAAACAGATCGAATACGCAAACATGAAAATTGATGGATGTGTTTCAGTGAAATTAAAATGATGAATGATTTCGCGATACCATTGGAACGGACGATGTGTGCAATGAAAATTTTTAATTCAATAGACGGGTTTATTGAAATACCAGATTATTGATGATGAAAGGGATACGAGTATGTTATAAGCCAGCTGTGATAAACCTTACTATAGTTTTAGCTTCGATGCATTCATTCCCTTTGAATATGGCTATGAAATGATCAATTCAGTTATTTTAGCAACAAAACGTTTTGAAGTTTTGCTGTGAATTATTTCTGAAATTACTTCTGCCTTTTGCTCGTGTTTATCAAAAAATATTTATCAAACATAGCTGAATGATTAGCTGATATTTCGTTAGAGAAACGAGTGAAATTCGTGATTTTAACACCGTCTGATACGGTATCAGGTAGGAAAATTACCGAAAAATTCCATCGAAATCGAGCGTGTCATAACGTCACATCCTCTTTCTTCGCTCGGCCGGACCCGCCTTTAGAAATGCATTTAAACTTCCGCTTCGTTGTGCCCCCTGTCGAAACGCGTTTCCATTTCGCCGCGGTTGTCGCGTCTAGACGCCGGGATCCCTGGTAGACGCGACGCGGCGTTTGGTTTAGGAAAAACCGTCTCGGGATCGTGGCTCCTACCGTGGATTCCGGTTACTTGAATCTTCTTACGCCTCGATGAACGGACACGTCGGGGCCCGACGCGTCTCGTCCGCTTGTTACGTCGTCCATCTTGCTCGGAACCGAGGCACGAATTGATACAACACGGGGTGGAATGTCCATTGCCACGCCGCCGTTTCACGAGTTGGAATCGAATTGGATCTTGGGACACGTGACATTTTATTGCTGCGTGCAACGACAGTTTTACCGTCCCGGAAGGACGTTTCGATGCTCGCCTCTTGGTATGCCGTTCCTTTTATTGCCGACGTTGAAATGGTAAACGTTCGACTGTCTAACACGAGCCCGATGTCCCTAAATAGCGTTTGCGATCAATGACATTCAATTTTCGGATCCTAAACCGGACGATTGAACACGAAATGGATTCAAACGACTCGTATTTCTCTTTCCCTTTATGCGTTGGGGTATTATTAATGGATTAATCGATAAATATTCTTGACGCCTCTGGATATATTCTATAATTACGGTCAAGTGACTGTAATTACCTTTTGTACAGAGTGACCGCTTAATAAAGGCTGTCTATAATAACGAAAGGGTTAAGAACCGCCCTAACTTTCGTGCGCTGTAACACGAGACCCAACCCTCGACACGCAACCCTTGACGATGAGACTACAAACTGAGCAACGCGACAGGCGCATCGGTGGGAAAAAACAAAAGGCAGAGGTGAACAAAAAGAAAAGCCAACGGGTTAGGGATTGCGAGGAGAGCAGTCGACGGAAGGAGGGAAAGCCGAGCGACTTTGTCCGCTTCCCTGGTGGGCGACAACGGTGTCGCCGGGCGATTTAATTGAACCGGCTTGGAAAATTAATAATGGTTCGCGCTAGTCGCACCTTTTTGTTTCACCGTGCCCGCGCGGCCGTTTGTGAAATAATTCCAATAAACGTGCATCAATAGGATTTTCCAGGAACAAGTTGGCTGGTACAAATGTAATTACAACGTCAGCCTGCTCGATTGGATCTGCTTGATTCGTGAAACAGCGCGTAAACAGCCGGGCGTATCGATCGCGAAAAAATCACTTCCGACTAATAAACGGCAAGTTCGATTAGGAATTGGCTGAATGATCGAAATGACGCGTGATCAGCCTCTCGTGGAAATCTCGTCGATCATTAATTCGCGTACCGCTCAGCTTAGTATTTCTCCACAACGGCCGATACACAATTTCGTTGATGACGATGCGTCAACTTGTCGCCGTTATGAACGTCCAACGGCCCGCTCGCAAAGTGGCCGCGATTGCCCGACTATTATGTTATCAATTTAGACGCAATCACGACAGCCCGATGATTAATTATGTGAGCCGTGCACGCGCGCCGAATAAAAGTGTCGAAATAAAATAATGCGAATACAAGAAGAAACGTAAAATTGAAAGTGTTAATAAGAAAAATGACAATTGATTCGTCTACGATGAACACGTTCCAGTTTCTGTTTGTTCGGATCGACTGAATCGGTGGTTAAAATTCCAGACGAAGAAAACCGCAACGGAGGGAGGCGGTGTTTGCAGCGGAAAGAAAGTAATATCATTCAAAAGCACCGGAAGTTATTCCTCGATGCGAAAGTTTCTCCATTTTACATTACAGAAATGGTCCGCGGTGGATGTTAGTCGCGGGGAAAACTTCATCTCGGCGATAACTTTTCCAATTATTATTAGATGGCAAATGGACAGTCTTTGTGTTTGCCGTGGCCAAGTCGGCCTCCCGGAAGTTCAAGAAGTCTCTGAAGGGGAACTCGAGCCACGGCGCACAATACCTTGGTGATAAACCCCGACGGACCTGGCTTGGAAAATCTATTTTTGATCGAACGCTCGATGTTTTCCGAGCACTTGCACGCGCTCTCTCCACGGACAAAGATTTCATCGACAAGTGGATCGACAGAGAAAGAGAGAAAATGTGCTTTAACTCACTCGAAATCGAACAATCACGTTAACTTCCGCCCACGGTCCATCGATATTCTCCGCGCAGGGTGTCTAGCAATCGAGGCCGCATATTTTAACTGCTCCTCTCGTTTCGAGTGGGGAAAGCGCGAATTAACGCGAGTTTAATTCGTGGAAAATTTGATTGAAAGATTTAGCAAAATTCCAATCTATCCATCGCTGGAAGAATAATAATTCCGTACTGTGTTGTAATACTTTTGTTTATAAAGGCATATGCCCGTACGTATTGAAATAATTAAATAAATAAATGAATAAATAATACCCAGGATACAAAACTCTTGCTTTTGTTTGGAATTCATAATAGCTATGAACCAGGATTCAATTAATAAACAGCCTAACAACCTTTCATCCTCGAGCCTCTTCAAGGAAGAAAATAATCACAATGCTATCAGATACTCCTATCGCGCTCGTCAACGAGGAGGAAACAGGGGATCTTATATACCATTTAAAAAAAAAAAAAAAAAAGAGGGATCATCAACATATCAGATCGTATTTATCATCCGTTAATCACGGTCGTATCGTTAACGAACAAAGAAGAAAACGAAGAAAAACATCGAGGGGGTAAGGCGAGCGAACGACAGAGGGAACATTAATTACAACCGCGCGAGTGGCGTGTCGGTAATCGCTTTCGTCCTGAATTAAAAGTAGATTAAGATATCTGGCCAAGCTGTGACTTTTAAAAGGGGCGCGAGAGGATGAGTCGCAGCGATAACAACGGCAAAGGTGAGCCCAACAACGGAAATAATGAAATGTTCTAGCGAGCCGATGTTGAAATACCACCCTTGTGTGGAAGTAGAAGTCGTTCCATGTTTACAAACAAAGTGGAACTGGTTCTGAAGGGACAACCCGTACGAGTGGACACACCCTGCCCCATGGCACTCGAGCGTGTGAAAGAGCGACCAGATGAACAAAGAACGCCACTGTCCTTTGTCTCAACGGCTCACGACAGGCTGAATATAATGCGAGCGTGTTAATTAAAGCCGATAGCTCGGCGCGGATAATCGCGCGTGCACACAAGAATCTAGGAAAAGAAATGAAAATGGTCAGCATTCAAAGGATTTATTTCGCTACCGCGAAATTTAACGCACGCTCCGTGGTGATAATAACGTCCCGTTAATTTACCATCTCGCGTATAATAATAACTTTTCGATTCGCGTTACTTTTATTATCCCAATGACCGGCAATTAAGATGTCGTGAGCTGCGTGCCGCATCGGTGGCCATTATTAACCACCATTAGCCGAGTCTCGTTCGTCATTAACGCGATGTGAAATTGAAATTCCCCATTGTTCCCGTGTTGATTAACATTCCGTTCAACTTAAGAAGGTATTTCAGCATCATCTTATAGCAACAGAAATAAAACGTCACGGAGTGACTTTTGCAAGAGAAACAGGCGAGACTGACAGGAGAAACGGACGAGGGGTTAAATGAAAACGATTTCTTCGATGCAGTCTAGGCTGCATCATACTCGGTCGCGGCTAATAAGAGCGTCTCGATAGTTCCGATGCATTATTCCTGTTCATTCGTGGCTCGCATATACGTATACATCCGGCGTAGCTTCGCGTCCAATATTCAGAGTGCAGCTGAAATTCCCTCAGCCAGGATTTTAAGGAATAGAAGAGACAGAGGTAGAGAAAGAGGGCGAATGGAAGAGAACATCGGTAGAAACTTTCCTCGACCGAACACGCTCTCCCTCTCCTACCCTTATTCTATCTGTACTTCGTGCTCGGTTCATTAAAATTGAAGGTTCCTCCGTCGTTGCCGTTGCCAAGTCGAAAGTCTGCAGAAACTTTGCCGATGTATCTCTCTCGC